GCGAGAACCACCTCAGTTGGTCCTGGCGGTCCCATTCATTCTCCAGCGGGGAAAAGTTCTCGCTCGGCTTGCGCCATGAGGAGGAACCATGGCAAAGCGGATGGCCGGCTCCCCGCCCAGCTGCCGTGCCATGGCGCAGGCACATCAGGACCAACAGCTCCCCGTCCGTCTGTCTCGGGGAGAAGGACTCATCCGCCAACGTGTCCCACAGGACCCTTGGAATGCGGTCCCAAAGACGAGTGTAAGGCGGGCGCAAAAGAAACTTTGTAGAGACCCTAGCCATGGTGAAAACGGGGGTTCGAGCCTCCTATCGAACGGCCGGGACCCAACCGCGGCACACTGCATGCATGTTCCAACCACGCAGGATGCCGAGTGCAAATGGGGCAGGCAGGCCACATGCAGCCCAACAGGACCAAAAGTCAACCCCCGGAAATCCCCAAAAAAAAAACACGGAGGGGGGAAGACCAACCCGACGGGGGATTCCTCAAAACCCCCAAGGGGACCTCAGGGAACCCAGAGTCAGCCGCAGCCACTTTCTCCAAACTGTGGCCGATATGCGTGCAGCCTCCAGATCGAGGCAAACCGGCTGTCGTGACGTGTTGAACAGGGGGGAAACCATGGTGAAAGTTGAACCCAAAAGGAGACACCCTTACTCCTCCCCCCACCCGAGACGGGGCCAGAGGCACCCAAGTCCCGGCGGGAAGAGATCACACGACTCCACATCCAAAAGGGTTGTGAGACACGACCTAGCGGCTCACCCTTCAGGATCGCCTCCTTTGCCACCGAGTGGATGGCCGCCAGCCCTGACTTCTCCGGGTTGCTCAAAATGACCGACCACAAGGCAGTGGAGACATCCCCCAGACCATTCGAGGAGCTGAAGCGCATGCGCGGGGTGCTCGCGTCGCCCAGGACTAGCCGCTCGTCCCTGGGAGGCTCCGTCGGCTCCACCCTCTTGTAGAACTCCATCCTGTCCCGGATCCACTGATTATATAGCTGCTCCGGGGGCTCGTCCATCACCAGCTGCAAGCATGTGGCCTTGTCTTTGTGCCACCCCGTGATCTGGAGCAGCCTGGTCCCCCCGCGGCTCGCCCTCCAGAAGCCCTTGCAAAACCTGCACATGTAGCCCCCGGTGGTCTTGAACTTCTCCTTGCCCACCACTTCCCAGGCGCTGATGCTGGGCAAGACCAGGCCGCACTCCACGGAGGCCCAAAACGTGCTTCGTCTCCTTGGGGAAGTGCTTGTTGATGTACTTCCGGCCCGCGACCGCCGTGACCGTGGACGTGGTGATGGGCGGGTACCGCCTCATGCCCTGGTCCGGTGTGCGGAGCGTGGTGTCCGCCCCCCCCAGAACCTTGGCTTGGGGTCCGATTCCGAGGCACCCAAGGGGGGGGAGCAACCCAGCTGCCGGATGAGGTCCTGGGAGTAGCCCAACCTGTCGTACAAGGCCCCCGCCGCCTCCTGCGTGACCTGCTCGACCCAGTCGTGGACCACGTTGCAACGCCAGTTGACCTTCACCTCCACCATGGAGGACTTGCTCAGGCCCGACACCAACTTGGTGTAGACCGAGTCGAAAGCCCTCAGCGATGACAGCGGAAGGGTGATTCGCTCGTTGCAGACCGCCCTGAAACGCAGCGCCTCCTTGCTGTCGTGGACGGGGGCCACTGGGATCTCCATCACCGGCAACGGGCAGTTAACGATGAAATTCTTGGCCGCCAGAAACGTCCCCATCTCCTTGAAGATGTAGCTCCATTCCGCCTTGCTGCGCGGCTTGGGGATGCCCAGGCTCTCCAGGAAGGGCACCGCCTCCTTCCTCATCTGGAGGATGTTGCCCATCCACTTGTCCGAGGTCGAGCCCTCCGCATTGCGGCCCCGGCGCTGCGTCTTCACGATCAGCGGGAAAGTGGTCCAGGCCGAGTAGATGTACTTGAAAGTGAACCTGTGGGCGTACACCCCGTCAGGCTTGGCAGGTCCCACGTTCTCGTCTGCCTGGTCCAAAACACCTTATCACCTTTTGCCCAGAAGATCCCCACCACCTGCTCCGGCGCCGGGCGCTCGCCCCGGTTCACCTGCGCTCGGATCTCCAAGGCCGTGTAGATGACTGGGTCGATGTGGTCCTGCTCGCACGTGAGTGGGTGAGTCCTGCGCTCCAGGGCCAGGAGCTCCTCTGGCGTGAGCTTGAATTGCTGGTCCGCGCCCTTGGGGATCTCACCGCTTGAGTGCTTCTTCCAGATCCCCCCAAACATCCGTAGCTCCCCCTGGTGCCTCTTCATCGCCCAGAGGAGCAGGGACAGCTTGCCCTCCTCCGAGTCCAGGTCCTGCTGTGACATTGGCTGGTCCCCCCCGGGGCCAATGGGGGGCCGGTGTCGCCAGATCGGGCATCTCCTCCAGCAGCGCCTCCTGGTGCCATGGGTTCTGCGACTCTCTGAGCCTCCTGATGTAAGGGACATACTTCTCCTTGATGTCTCCCACGTTGGGGATCCTCGGGGTCATCCAGCTCCAGGGGGCAGAATAGCCCCCTCTCCAGTGCCTGCCTGAGATCATCTGGCCACGCCGACACTTCCAAGGGCTTGAGAGTGTGGTTAAGCATCCATGCCGGTTGGTGTCCTGGGTGCGCTTGTTCGCCTCCTGAGCCTCCTGAATGGAGCCCATCGCCTCCGCCAGTGCCTGGCTGGCGTCAACGCCCTTCCCCTCCAGGTACTGGTCTCGCAGCTTGGCCTCGCTCCAGGTTGACCTTCCTGACGGCACGGGCTCCCTCATTGGCCACCTCCTCTGACGGCAGGGCCTGCATGCCCTCCTGGAGAGGCGCCAGGATAGCCATCTCATTGTCCAGCATCTCCTCCGTGACCAACTCCTTGTGCCGCCGCCTGGCCGAGGACTCCTCCGGGGTCGGTTCCCGATGCTCCCTCAAGGCCTTATGCAGCTCCTCCTTCCTGGTCCACCTGGGGGTGGTAGAGCTGGAAGCTCTGAGCCTCCGCCTCCTTCAGGGACCGCTGCACTTTGACCTTGATCTCCTGGCATTCCCGGACCTTCAACGCCTCGTCGTCCGCCTCCATGGACAGGATCTCCTGCCGTATGTCCACCCGCCTGAGCGGGACCACGTCTGCCATGGTGATCTCCTCTGCCGTGTCCGTTTTCGGAGGAGCTCTCCCCAGGACCGTGCCGTCCACCAGGTTGCGGTCCGCCTGTGCCCGGGTACCACCGGGGCCAGCGGCACCCAGGCTTCCCCCTTTCCGCTGCTGGATCCAGGTCGGCTTGCCCTCCACAATGAGCAGGTTGTAAGTGATGCCGTCCGCCTCATAGGTAGCCGAGGGTGCCTGGAAGGGGACGAACTCCTTGCCTGGGCAGACCCAGCACTGCTTGGCTGCCTCCGGCCACCCCGTGCCGCATGCTTTGCACATGAACTTGTAATCTGAGTGGCCTGCATCGAGTCTGTGCATCCGCTGGGTGCCAATGCACGCCTTGTTCCTCTGGAACTGTGAGGCCCAGACCTCCTCCTGCCGGATCTGGATCTTCATCGGAACATAGGCCTCCAGGATACGAATCACCAAGTCCTCCGTGAGATTCTTCCCGACAAACTTGTGGAACAGGGAGACCGCCTCCTCCACCGTGACGTCCCTCAGCAACGTGGCCGCCGATGCCGGAAGGACCGGGAAAAGGTCTGGGAGGTCCACTAACTTGAAGTAGCCGGGACGGCCCTCCACCGGTACCAGGGAGACCGGTTTGTTCACATGAGCCGTGGTCTTCTGGGAAGCCGCCACGAAACCCTTCAGCCTCTTCGTGGGTGGTGTCTGTGCCTCTTCCAGTGGAGTAGCCCGCTCCGTGGCGTCCGCATCTTCCATGTCCTTGTCCTCCTCCTCGGCGGGGCCAGGGGCACCCAAGCCGGAAGTCGGTGTGGCAAACGCCACACGGAGACGCTCCAGTGCACTGGAGAGGTCGTTCATCACGTCGGTAGCCGAAGCCGATGGGGGGGCCTCGGGCTCGTCCAACACCAGGCCGGCCGCCACTGCCGCCTCGCGTGTGCGAATTTCCTGGGCCTCCTGGCTGGCCATTTCCACCTCCTCCGCGGTGAGCGTCTGGTCCTCAATCAGCTCGAAGGAGGTTGCCGAGGTTGCCGAGGAAGCCATTGCTTGATCGGGGTTAGTTCGGGGGTGTTCAAACTCAAATCTTTTTCACACAGATTGGGTTCAAAGAACCCAGGGCAAAGCTTGAGCCAAAATGGCATGCGCCATTATGGTCAAGCATTGCAAACACAGTTCATGTTTCCACATGCGTTTCAACATTAACAAAAAATGCAGTAGGTTTTTTGGGGATTGAGAATGGTCTTAGGCTCAACTTGCTCGAACGACTGACTTAGTTGGCATCCTTGTTTTGCCGAACTTGGTTGGGTTTAACCCTGACCTAACCATAACCTGGCCCGGACATAATTTCCTATTCCCCCCCAACCCACCTCAATTGGCCCCAGGTTCCCGGAAATGTGCCCAAGAAGGGCCCCGCATTCCCTCTCTCAACCCTACCCGAACCACCAACATAGACTTGTTGAGCCTCAGTGAATCAGCCCCTCCCCAAGGAACCGGGGGTTTCTTTGGCAAAACCGCGTGTGCTACAAAGCCTTCGTCGGCCCTGATGTGGATCCATCAGGGGTATCTAGGCAGAGCTCCGATGTTTCAAAGGTTGGCGTAGGGCTCTCAAGCGGTTGAAGCTCTCTTTTAGGAGCAAGCGACACAAACCATGACAGCGTGTCAACTGCTTTGACACATTCAATTGTGCGAAAGTCGGCAAACATTGAACACGCCCGGTTTGAAACACGACGCCCCTCATACTTGTTCAATGACGTAAAGGACCCTTTGCATCCTACGTGGAGCCAAAAGTTCCAGGGCTCGCCCAAAAAAACGCTCGTAAGAGGAGACCAATGAAACACAGCAAACCTAGGTCCAAAGGTCCAGAGAGCTTAGAAGGGTACCCGATTCTTCCCCAACGAACTCTGGGACCGGGATCCGCGCCTCGCTCATAGCGCTGTGTCCCCATCTATCCTTCAAGTGTGGGTCTGCTTGCACCTCGTCGGAAGGGTTTCGGCGCAGCGAAAGAGCCCGCGAAAAAGCGCCCTGGGATGGTCTGGGGAAGCCAAAGGAAACCCAAGCTGAAGTCCCCAAAATTTCAAGGACTCACTTTGCTTCGTCGGTCTCCTTTGATTTCCCTACCATCCAGAAGCTCAGTAGGGTCGGGGAATCCATTCCGTTGTCAAAGCGGGACGCATCATAGGTTCGACCTCATCGGAGATTCGTGGTCTCTGTGCCTGGGAAAAGCCAACAGGAGCAATAAGGAGCATTCTCCAAATTGTCGGCCAGCTTTTGTACGCAGTTTACCTCCCTGAGACAAGCATCCAGAAAACGAGAGAACGAGCCCCAACCGCACCCATCTGACTCCGCTTTCCCGCACGTGGTGCGCTGAAAGAAAATGCTGGGCGCATGGTTTCAAAAAGTCTCGCAAGGCAAACCGCACCTTGTGGGTCACCTAGCTTGAGACATACCCCGTTTTGATGGATGTATATTTTGGTGGAAACTCTATGTTTAACTCTCAACTCACGGTCAATGGTGCATTCAAATCACCTAACTTAGAAAATACACACCGGGTTTTGAAAGTTCCATTCTTTGGAGGCAGCTGGCAACCTTCTACACCAAGCCTCTCCACGTCACACGCTCGCAACACGCCCGGAGCGCCTGGATCAGCGTCACCGCGGCATCCATGTTGCCTGCGGGAAATGGCGATGACGGCTCGTGCCGTGTTCAAGACCCCCCCAAAAAAAGGAAAGCAGGGCTGCCCCCCCGGACAAATCTACCGGAAAGCAATCCCTGCAGGCCTAAATTAAACGCCAACTCGGAAACTAGCCCTGAACCCGCAATCCACCCTGAACAACCCTAAATCCTCCCTAAACCAACCCTAACTCCCTAAGCCCACCCTCAAACCTGTCCCGAATGTAACCCCAACCCCTAGAGTTTTGACCATGGCACACATGGTATACCTGTGGAGACAGAAAGCTCTGGGGCATTCCGGGCCGGAAGGCTTTGCCTGCCGCCCCCTGTTTTTGAAGTTGAAGGAACCGACTGTTGTCCGTGTGCTGGTTGAAGCGGATGATATCTCCGTGATACCACCGGAAGCCCCGGCCGAAAGGATCCATCCCTCTGACTGATCAAAGTCTCGAAGAGAAAAAGCTAGCCGCTAGAAAGAAACGCAGAACAAGTAGTTGACACCAAAACACCCAAACAACCACAACGTCAGCAATGCTTCCACCACACAAGAAGCCACACATCAACCAAAACTACCCCTCTGCCCCATCCACAGCCTTCAGCACAGGCCAACATCAAGGCGGTACGCCGGTCGTAGTCGCAGCCTCGGTGTAATGCCCCGCGCATTTGCGGTGAAATCACCTCGGGGGATCCTCCAAATCATCCGGTAAATACGCAAACCTCAACATGGCCAACATGTTGATCTGTCTTTCTTCTGCAACCCCACAATGGCAGGAGGAATTGCCCGTTTCGAAGACGTTGTGGCACATTGTTAACATGAAGGGCTAAAGAACTGCTTACTAACATGTTGCTTTATCATCCTGTCTCAATGTGGTTTCAAAGTAGCCGGCAACCGGTCTAGTTTAGGGCCTTCTACGTAGTGCACTGCCACATTTCCAAGGGAGCCGCAAAAGTAAGTTTGGCAACCTGACTGGGCGCGAAAGTCTGGCATGAACGGGTCAATTTGCTGCTGCTCAGTCGGGTTGTGTTTTTCGAGTTCATCAGCGGGTGGGTGTTGGAGGGTCCTTCTGCTCTAGATCTGAGATTCCTTCCGAGATTCCTCCGGAGACTGGGCGATTGATCCTTGCAAGGAAAGCAAATAGGATTCGACTTAGGTGATTTTGTGCTCCTCCTGTCACACTGTGAATGAACAAAAATGCTGCACCAGTTCGAAAGAAATACTGGGATGAACCGCCTACTCAGGTGAACAGCAAGGCCGTCAAAAGGATGGCAGAAATCCTAAAACCCTCCTGTCCACTTCTATGACTCTCAAAACACGGCCGTTCACATTCGACGAATTTATCAACCGACATTGGAACCCCATGAGCGCCTCCTTCGCCTCAGGTCGCACGAAAAAGGTTGCCCGGATCCAAGGCATGTCCTAGATATACAAATCTTGGTGGCTCCCAAACGGGGGCCCCTCAGAACGCCAAAAGGACACCAACCTGAAAACGTACCCATTTTTGGTTGGCACAGGCCTCCGCATCAGTATCCCCTCTTTGCCCAAAGGATCTATGTAAAAATAAAGTTAAATTGATAAATAACCTTCTCCTATTATCAAGGTGGTTGCAAAGGCTGAGGGCTCGCGAGAGGTCCAGGGAGTAGAACCACCTACAAGATTGGCCGGCGTGTTGGGCCAAGTCGCTTGCCTGAAGTCATGACTCAGCCTCTCCCATGCCGAGCGACAATCTGGGCTGAGGCCGCACAGGGAGATCCTGGGCGGGGAGGGGGTCTCCAAATCCAAATCCATTCAACTAGGCACGCGTCAAACAAACAAACAAAAACGGATGACCGGACGAAAAACGGTGGTTTGCTCTTGGATGTTCGGTTGAAACCAACCTGGAAAGGGTAGTCTCAAACAAACACAAGCCTGGTAGCTTCAAGAGGGTACCCCTGTTGGTTGTTAAAGGGAAACAAAGAGGAAACAATCATTTCTTTTGGGGGCGTCCCTTTCAAAAAACACACCCATATGAATGGTTGCATGTTACAGAAATCGAGGCAATCCTAAGCCATCCCAAGAAGCCTGTGTGTGTCCCCGCTTGCTTGCTGCCAAATAGACAGGTCCAACTGATGATCTGCAAGGGCACCGGAAAAAAAGAGTTGGTCTTTTTCATGTCAATCGACAAGCCTGTGTTGCCGCTTGCATTGGGGGCTTCCTTGGTATCACAAACAAGTGGCAACCCAAAACCCTCTTTTGCCACAACCTTTGCATGGCCCCGACCATTAGAGGACACCTCCGTCCTCCGTTTGGGTCAAAAAGCTGTGGATCCCCTGGAGTTCCATATTGAAAACACAAATCTCCAAGGTCTCTGGCACCAGGGATGTCGAAGAAACAAGAGTACGAAGTAAACAAAAATATATATGGGTGGCAAAAATATCACATTTAAAGTAAACCCAAGCAATCCATTCACCAAATCGCCAGCTTAAGGTCTGGTCATCTTCGAAAAGCTCTGGCTTGCGCCCAACGAGGAGATCTGGCTTGCAACGGGTTGGACCTCCCTGTCACAGGGCTGGAAAACGTTCTGAGTCACTTGTGAGGGTGCCCTGTTTGGGCTGGTTCTTTTTGAAAAAAAGCCAAAAGCAACCCATTCTTTGGGGGCGCCCCTCCCCTCAAAATACCAAATGCCAAACCCGCCTCGCTCGCGCTCGAGCGCTCGCTGCAAAAAGCCGAGCGGCAGGTTGTTCAGATATTTGTTCTGCCCTGAGAAGGCCGCCTGACACCTGGGCGATTTGACGCTGCGAATAGATGCTGAGACCGGACAACAAATTGGGCTTAGTAAGTCGTACGTTTGAAGATGGTCAACATAGTGATCTCAAACGGAAGCATTGTTTCTATGTGAAAACACTTTGTATTTATGTAGTTGCATGTTGCCGATTCCGGTCTACGGCATGATCTTCATATGATGTGAGTTATTTTTCATCCGGTGCAAACTACATGTTTAAGGATGTTTGTAGAGCACAACTTAACTTATGGTCTGAATACGCATATCGAAATAGATTCAAAGAGCATGACTTGCTTGGCAGACTTCGCCCAGCGTCCAGGTCCAGCAAATTATACCCTTTGCTCATTTAGCAAGAGTTCCCAAAGTTCGGCCTGATCAAGCACTTCAGATTGTCTTCGTAGAGTAGACCCCCCATGCCCGAATGACCCAAGTATTTGCAGCATCTTCACGGTGCACTTTGTCTGGCCCGATGTTGTCCAGTCTAATCCAGTGCAACATTGTATACGCACTAATGTTGACCCTGGCTGACGTACGTAGCCCCCGTGTGTCACAGGCATACCGCATGGTCAAATCGGACCTCATGAAGCTAAGTGTACCACGACACGGTTCAATGTATGGTTCAACCAGACAACATGGGCCTAGGTGGAGCTAAGTATATGCTACTATGTGAACATATTCTTACAAACGGGCATCAACGCGACATTGACACAGTTGATCATTCCACAGAAACATACTAAATATCGTACCTTGTCAAAGTAAGTCATACCATGTTAATATAGATGAGTATGTGAGTTTGCTCAAGCTAAAAAGGGTCCATCAGGCACCAATTCTCCGCTCAAAAGGGCGATACCTCAGACCAACCTTTCTTTGGTGATGGAGACAACCCTCACTTTCGTCACACCTCCGTGTCTGTGCAACGGTCGCGGGTCTGGACACTCCGCATCTTTGCGGCTTCGCAAACCAATCAGAACCCGTCCAAGGGGCCATCAGAGGGGGAGGGGGAGCATGCACCGATTTCCGGGATCATTTTCGAACACTCAGGCGGGTGGGCGTTCAAAAACGACCCCCTCTCCCACCAGAGGTGCCTCTCGCTGGGAGAGTTGCCAGTTAGGGAGCGAGACCCCTATGAGCTGCACGTGGGGACAAGTCACCCGCTTTCGCCCCTCCCCCCCCAAAAAAATAAATGCCGTGTCTTTTTGCGGGAACCCCCCCAAAATGGCTTTTCTTCCTTTTGGAGTTGGTCTTTTCAAAGCACAAAAACAAGGCTAACATAGCACACCTTTTTTCAAAACTATGTCGCAACTCTTTGCCTTGGGTGGCTTTGGCTGTAAATTGGGGCTGGTCCAAAGTTACAAGACGATTGAGTGGAAGGCTCTAATGTTTCACTGCCAATCCCTACCAACCCCAAGTAAAGCAATCGGTCTTATGGCGCCATGATGAACCGCGCAGGAGGAATCAAACGTTCCGCACCCGTGGGTCGTAGGCTCCCGACAGCTCTTGGCCAGCGTGGGTGGCGTTGGCATCATCCTGAGATCCGCTGAGGGGAACAGAGATAATCCAAGCGAGTAATTCCATTGACCTGTTTTAGGCAACCAACAGAACCACCCTTCAACAATGGGAAATGGCTGGTATGAGTTGGGAGCTAAGGGATTTTGCTTGCCCGAAGAGGGAGCTCCTTAGGGCGAAAAAAAAGCCATCGGCAAATGAAGAGCATAGGGCACCCCGAAATGAAGCTTCTGCATCTTGTCACGTGCCAACTGATCACGAGACCTGGATCCCAGCTCCAGCTATCAACTGCAAGCCGTGCACAGCAACCCGCAAGACCTGAACCATGGGGCCCAATGCGTCGCGAGCCGCCGCTGGAAATTCACTAGGGCCTTGCGTTTGCTTGGCTTCGCGGGGCGGGTTTGGCTTGTTGATGCCTCGACATTGATGCCTGAACCTGGCGTATGTACACGAAGCTCTCCATTCCTCGTCTCAAAGATGGTCCATCTTCACTAGATGGTTTCATAACAGATCCCCAAAAGCCAGCAAACCCCTTGTGGGGAAGGCAAGCAAAAATAGATCCTCGCAAGCACATTCAGGCACGTGCACAGGCTCGACGGGGCAATTAAGACCCACAGGCAACCCCATGCGCTTAAACGTGCAACCACCGAATTGTTCCGATCCAACATAATCGAACAACAAATATGCCCGGGGCACCTAACTCAACACGCTAACCCACACCAAAACCAGTATTTGCCTAAGGTTTGATGAGTCGGTGACCAACAGGCGTTCGTTTCTTGGGCTTCTCATTGAAATAATCTCCCTCTTTTCATTCATGGAAGTACGCTGTCCACTTTCCAAGAAGCAAGGACCTACATAGTGAGCTCGTCTTGCCCCTGAACCGCTGAGCTCACCATCATTGTTGCACTTGGGTGCCTCAAACATGGGGTCCAAAACGGGACCCCAGCAAACGGAGTAGACGAGATCAAACGGGACCCCGGCTCCTTTCCAATTTGGAGCCACACCTTGAGTTGAACTCCTCAACCTCTCGTTGCCCCCAAGGGCAGTGCCCAAACAGATCAATTTGGCCCTCAGGTCTTCCCCTCACGTCAGGTTCCTCCAGTTTTGGAGGTTAGAATCTATTTTAGTCGGGGAACCCTCCCCCAAAAAAAGAACGGTACAAGGGCACCTAGCTGGGGGACCTAGAACAGCTCAGCCTGTCGCACGCATGAGAAGTCTCTGGGCCGAGTTCTCTCCCCAGGCCCCGGGCGGTTTGGCCATCCTCGCAGAAGCCGTGGTAGGCCCCGCGTTTCATGAGCTTCCGCGCGCAACTCCTGGGCATCGCTTGCGCTTATCTAACTTGCGGTCGGTTCGATATGGAATGAGACATGGAATCGCCCCCTTTCCCCCCCCCCCCCAAAAAAAGAAAAAGGAGGAAAAACCACGTGCCCGACTTGGTGTCCTTTTGAGGGAATCCCCGAAACCGGTTCATTCCCAACACCCGGGCTTGGTCATCTGCTGGTGCTCAGCAAGAGAATCAGCTTCCGAGCAGGTTTCTGGAGCCCAGCTGTCATTTACTCTACCAGGGAAACCACCAATCACCACCGAGGGGTTTCCTGATAAAATGGAGTTCCGTTGGCTCCCTTCAAATGCCTACCAGAAATTTAATTAAGGACCTCTCCAGGTGGGTGGTGTCCATTTGGTTCCGGATATGCACGGACTCAAAAGAGGGCTAGGCGATTCTCGCGGGAAATTCCGCAGTTCCGCCATGTCTCTCCCAAATGGACCGCAGACGGCAGGGTAAAAACACCAAACCTCATATCACATGGGTGTGGCCAAACTTAAGGAAGGCGAGCGGAGATGTTGTGTTACTTTTTCACCTGCGGAGTGAGGGTGGCAGGATCGTCTCTTGCACCACCTCTTGGTGACTTTCAGGGGGGACTCCATATATTTTGCTCAGTCATTACAAGCTTCATCTCACAAGCCTAAGAAAACATATGGCGTATCATCCACCATCTAAAAGGAACCAGCTGCCACTCACTCTTGGTTTGGGAGGGAACCCATTTGAATTTGGCTGTTGGTTCAATCAGCCAGTCATTGGGAGCTCCTCACAAGTCCTGCAGAACAGGGGACTTACACTCATCAGCAATGCGTGCATGCAACTTCCTTAGGACATCAAACCTTAAAATCACAAAAAGGTGCACTACTGTCTATGAAACACGAAGCTTCGGGACGCCTTCGCTGGGCTGGGGCTCCCGGCTCATTGCCGTGGCGTACTGCCTTTTTTCCGCTTGGAGACGGGTGGCGTTTGTTTCGTCCCTGTGGTTCCCCTTTTTTTGGGAGGGTTTCTCAGCACCCTTTGGGGGAGGGTTGCTTGAAAGGAAACCTGAGTCATGAGTCTTCATCAGGCGTCTTGGCTCGAAGCTCTTCGTTTGCAATTTCTCAGTGCTTGGCTACGCAACATTGCCTATGCAAGTTCTCTTAACACGCTGCCTTTGCAAGAGAGTGCAAGAAATCCCGGAGTATTTTCTCACGATACTTCAGGAAAGGGGAGCTTAAAACATAACTGCCACTTGTGCAGGTCCAAAACTGGAGCGGCCACGGCCTCCAAATGATCTATATATGCCCTCCTTGTTTGGTGAGCACACCAAAAGATGCTCAACCCGACAGGAGACTTTCAATTCTTCTGCCGCTCGTGTCATCGGATTCCACGCCTCCATCAATGGGGTGCGCCCGAAGTTGTCCTGGCCTGGAGTTGGCGGACAAGATGATGCAAAACAGAAAACATAGGTTTTCCACCTCATAGAGCCAGTAAAGTGCAACCATGCAAAAATAACATGTTTCTACTTCTGCTTGCTTTTACTGGGGAAAAGTATTAAGGCAAAATATGCAGTTTACGGTTGCATGAAAAAAAAGTAAGACCGCATGAAGTAAACATGGTTTTACGTTTGGATTCTGTACGTGTGTACAAGCATGGATGTGTGCACGTGCTTGTGTATGTGCACGTAGATGTGCGTGCGTGTGTCTGCGGGTGTGTGCGTGCGTGCGTGCGTGCGTGCGTGCGTGCGTGCGTGCGTGCGTGCGTGCGTGCGTGCGTGCGTGCGTGCGTGCGTGCGTGCGTGCGTGCGTGCGTGCGTGCGTGCGTGCGTGCGTGCGTGCGTGCGTGCGTGCGTGCGTGCGTGCGTGCGTGCGTGCGTGCGTGCGTGCGTGCGTGCGTGCGTGCGTGCGTGCGTGCGTGCGTGCGTGCGTGCGTGCGTGCGAGGTGCGTGCGTGCGTGCGTGCGTGCGTGCGTGCGTGCGTGCGTGCGTGCGTGCGCGGGCCGGGCGGGCGGGCGGGTCGGGTCGGGCGGGCGGGCGCGCGCAGCGCGCAGGCGTGCCCAGCGCGGCGCGTGCGTGCGTGCGTGCGTGGGGGGGTGGGTGGGTGGGTGGGTGGGTGGGTGGGTGGGTGGGTGGGTGGGTGGGTGGGTGGGTGGGTGGGTGGGTGGGTGGGTGGGTGGGTGGGTGGGTGGGTGGGTGGGTGGGTGGGTGGGTGGGTGCGTGGGTGCGTGGGTGCGTGGGTGCGTGGGTGCGTGGGTGCGTGGGTGCGTGGGTGCGTGGGTGCGTGGGTGCGTGGGTGCGTGGGTGCGTGGGTGCGTGGGTGGGTGCGTGGGTGCGTGCGTGCGTGCGTGCGTGCGTGCGTGCGTGCGTGCGTGCGTGCGTGCGTGCGTGCGTGCGTGCGTGCGTGCGTAAGTGCGTGCGTGCGTGCGTGCGTGCGTGCGTGCGTGCGTGCGTGCGTGCGTGCGTGCGTGCGTGCGTGCGTGCGTGCGTGCGTGCGTGCGTGCGTGCGCGCGCGTGCGTGCGTGCGTGCGTGCGTGCGTGCGTGCGTGCGTGCGTGCGTGCGTGCGTGCGTGCGTGCGTGCGTGGGTGGGTGTGTGTGTGTGTGTGTGTGTGTGTGTGTGTGTGTGTGTGTGTGTGTGTGTGTGTGTGTGTGTGTGTGTGTGTGTGTGTGTGTGTGTGTGTGTGTGTGTGTGTCTGTGCATGTGCATGTGCATGTGTATGTGTGTGTGTCTGTGCATGTGTATGTGTATGTCTAGGTGTACGCGTATGTGTGTGCATATGTTTACGTAGATACATTACTTTATAAGATGATGTCTATACAGGTATGTGTATGTCTATACATGTATTATCAACGTGCGCAAATATATATATATATACACATATACAGAGATATATACATATATAAATAGATACATATATACATATATATACATATATACATATATACATATATACATGTGTATACATATATATATATATATATTAGACCAAAACTTAGCCTCTATCTCTGTGGAGGTTAAAACCGGCCAATAGTCATGTAACAAACCACGTCACTCTTCATGTAAGTATTCATGTAAACAAAAACAGGCCTTAAAGAAACACGTAAAATATCATGTAAACAATGTGTGCCTCAGTGTTGGAAGCTGGAAGCTGCATCATTTGCCATGTTTCAGGCCTGAACAGACAGAAAAGGCGCACAATCAGACAAGCCCATGGCAAAACATTGGCAAAAAGAAGGTAAGGCTCCAACGCGCCCCTCCCATCTCCATAACAAGCGCCCAAGGTGTTGATTGAATGATCTTTGTTAAATCCTTAGCAGCTACCGTGCGAATGTTAGGAGGCCAAACATCTTAGGTCTTAAACACGTGGTTGGTAAGCCTAAGCATGCGTGAGCAGAAGCAAGGGCAATTCCTGAGCATGCTGTTGCAATCTTCGGAATGGTTCCTAGGTACGCAGCTCCAATGTCTCCGAACGGTTCAGAACAGTTCAGGGTATGATGTTGCAATCCCTCCTGAACGGTTCAGCACGGTTCAGGGCATGCTGCTTGCAATTCTTCCTGAACGGTTCAGAACGGTTCAGGGTATGCTGCTGCCATGACTGCTGAACGGTTCAGAACGGTTCATAGTATGATGCTGCAATCCCTCCTGAACGGTTCAGAACGGTTCCTGGGAAGCTTGAGTGACGAACGGTTCAGAACGGTTCAGAACGGTTCTGAACTATACGCCTGCTCTGTGCGCTGCTTGCTAGATGGGCTCCAGAACGGTTCAGAACGGTTCAGGGGCATGGGTTCCAATGCCTCCGGAACGGTTCAGAACGGTTCAGGGGCACGCGTTCCACTGCTTTCGGAACGGTTCAGAACGGTTCAGGGGCATGCAGTTTGGTTGCCACCGTTCCTCGGAACGGTTCGCAAGCACGCGGCTGGCGGTTCCTAGTCCTAGGTAAAAGGTCAGGCCGGCATCGGAACATCGAAAGCGATCCGAAATCTCAAAGCACAAAAAGGCAAAGACTTGTCTGAAATTTACGCGAAAAATTACGCAACCATTTACGCAGAAAAAGGCTGGCTGAACCGTTCTGAACCGTTCAGGGGACACATTTTGAGCATGGAGGTCCGTCCGCAGAACTTGCGTGCACATGTGACAGCATCGATCGCTCCTCTTTTCCGGCCTTTGCTCAACTGGGTTTCTGGAATCAGTTCTTGGATTCCCTGGGTCTTGCGGACAATCGAGGCGAAGCCGCGGCAAAGACAAAGCAACAAAAAACAACGCGCGACAGTACCACAACGCGGCAAGCAGGCTGCAAGAAGGCAAGGCTTAAAATCGTCCTGTGCAACTCCTGACTGGTTGGATCAGCGGCCACGCGGAGACAACCTCGTAGAGTCGTGTGTGCATGTGTGTTTGTGTGTGTGGGTGGTGTCTGTGTGTCTGTGCGCCAGGTGCATGTTAGGAATATAGACGTTAATCTTGATGTTCTTCAAGATTGGCCCTCGCAAGGTCGCCCAACAAAAAGCTGACTAAGTCTTGATTGTTGGAAAGAGCCCTCAAAATATTCTTAATGTTGTTCACGCAGCTGACATAACCAATGACCGGACATACCGGACGTTCTTTGACAAGACGCAGTGTTCCTAGATGTTCCTAGTCCTCGGTTCCTACAACATCTCCTTTCTCATGATCACTAAACACAAATTGACATGTATCTTGGTGGGGGTTCTGGCTGCCTATTAGCATGGCAACGCAACCCAAGCGCAAGCATTGGCGCACGCGTTTTTGCGTCCGGAGGTTTTTGGCTTTGCCAACGCGACACATGCTCGCGAGCAAAAACTGTGGCTGGCAGCTACCAGTACGCATGAACATTCATGTCAAAGTTGTCGCGGCTCTTCCAATGGTTCATGACTCATGACGCTTTGCCTTCCTTCAGTGATATGAGCAGGTTAAATTCGCGAAGGGGAAGATTCTTGCCAATACACATCCCTGTCCATGAGGGACACTAAGTCCAGCTAACGCAGGGTCACTCAAGATCGGGCAAGCGAAAATGAATTACAACTAATTTACCTCACTATTTACCATATTATTACGGACTCTTGCTGTTAAGGGCCAGACAAACCAGAAAGCTTGATTTATTTACGTGATTGTTTACGCTTTTATTTTCGGGTACGGCGAAAACGACAGACCCCCCTATTTATAGAGGCTAAGTTTTGGTTTAATATATATATATATACGCATATGTATAAACGGATGCTGCAAATAATGACACGTTCTCCATCAGCATGGATGAGGTCACAAACCGTCTTGGAGGATGCTACAACTTGCCCATATATGTGTATGTGCATATATATATATATGTATATATACATATACTAGGGCCTATAGTTACTAGGGCGGTCCCTGCCCGCTGCCGCTTCCCGCCAATGGCTGCAAAGTGCTGCAAATGTTTTTGCAGCAGCGGGCCTGATTTGCTTCGACCGTCTTCGTCGAATAAAGCGACGGGCGCTCTCTGCGGTGGTCGACCCCCCCCGACGATACCATTGCTTTGGAGAACATGTTTTTCGCCTACCAAAAGTAAATGCCACGGCGTTAAAACGCCATCTTTGAGAGTCGCTCGGCTGCATCAAGTTTCATTGCATAATATAACGAACTGCGAAAATCCAAATTTTCGAGACCGACATGAGTTGGTGTGCTTTGCATGGTCTTTGTTAACTACAGCAGTCAACACCTCCGCCATCACCGCTTGCTTCTGTAAGGGAGATTCTGTGAAAAGAAGATGCGCGGCTTTCAAACGCGACTTTTGTGAGTCGCCCCGCGGCAGCAAACTCAATACAAGGTGAAATATGCTGCCAACAGTCTTCATTGACTAAAGTTGCCGACGCCCTGAGCATCACCAATTTTTGAATAGAGGAAATGCGGTTCCCCCAACTAAAAGTAAATGTCGCGATAGTTCGTGGACTGCAGTAGTTGACACCCCAGCATCACCAGTGGCTTGATAAAGAAAGTGCTTTGTGCTTACTGCTCAGTACCCTCAGCATCAGCAGCGCGCTAGTCAAGGCAAAAGTGTGCGCCAGTTCTATCGGGAAGAAAACACTGAAACTTGCCTAGTGAAAGAGGTGAGGCAGGCTCCAGTGGAGGAGGGTTTCAGTGCTTCTGTAAGGGAAAAGCTTCTCCATGTAAAAGTCGATGTCACCACGGTCCGTGATCGACGCCCCCAGCATCACCAGTGCTTTAGGAAAGGATAGGCATTTTCCGCTTGCTACAAGATGTCGCGGGCTTCACACTCGACTTTTGACAGTCGCTCGGTGGCATCACATTATTACGCAATGTTGGCATGAGTCGGTGTGATTCAGAACACGGACAGGGCATGCGTGCCAGACTTCGGACAGTCTTCGTTGCCTACAGTCATCGACACTCCAGCATCTCCGGTGTTTGAGTAAACGAATTTGGCTTTCCTGCGGGCTGCTCCAAACCCCGAGACCAGCGCTGCAGTTCAGGAAATGCTTTTCTGCGTCGGAGACTGGAGGGAAAAAGGGGGCGAAACTAGTTTGAAACTGCTTGGGGCAAGAGAAAAGCTGAAACTTGCTTCGACCGGGGAAGCCAAGCAGGAAAAACGCAGAGACAGGCTCCAGTCGAGGGTTTGACCAAAGACCACAAGAATGACAGCTGCGAACTCGGAGGCAGTTCGAAGACACCCCCAGCATCACAATGCCGCAGCAGGAAAGCTCTTCCGCCGGACGTGTGTGCGGGCGTGCTTCGGAACCCAGCTCGCCCAGAAGTGCAGATTCATGCCCTCGTGAGCCCCCGTGCGGCATTTACTGCCACACGATAAAAAGGATGAGAAAACTCGCGCGCAGCCTGGAAGCTTTCAGAAACGCTTCAGACCCGGAAACCGCAAAATGATCCATCAACCTGGTTAACTCCCCCCCTAATTCAAGGCATCTACAGAACCCTTCCTCATTGGATCTCCAAGCTGAAAGCATCTCTTCATGAGGCTCACCTTAGATTGGAACGGTGATGCTCAAGCTTAGGAAAAAACTGCTCAGACTTGGATCTTGAGTCAAACCATTTAGACAGAGGTCACTGCATTTCGCCCTTAAAAGCTGCAACTTGACTGGCGGTTTCCAGTGGAACTGCCACTTTTGAAGGTCCCAAAACGGGAAAAATGGAGTTGGAGCGCCTGCCAATTTTTCGCCAACTCAAGAGGCGAAGGGGAAAGTTCCGGCGGTAAGCTCCCGGCAGTTCATGTTGATGTGTCCTTCAGCCAGAAGCACCTCGTCTCAAGTTGCAGTCGGAAAGCCACTTTCGAAGCCGAAAGTTGGAGGGCTGAACGTGGCCTATGGCTGTTGTCCTTGTTCTTCAGCTGAAAGGGAATCAAAAGCATATCAAAAGCCACTTTGGCTTGGCTTCACCGCGCTCAAAATGAAGAGACGGGACCATTCGAATGGGATTGGACCCCCAGTTGGCCCGGGCTCGCTGCTTGTGAAGGGCCAAGTTGAGCGCCACGGATCAGTTCGGGTCAAGGCCGCAAGACCGAATAGAGACTGAACAGAGACGGACAAGAACCGAACATTTTGAACCCATTGGTCCAAGTCTCTCTGCATGGGGACATCCCGAACCTCAACTGGAAAGCTCCGCAAACCCCGCAGGACAACAAAACTGGGCGGGGAAACCATCGATTCACTATGACACGAGCTCACAAGACGACCACCCTGCTAGCACCGTCTTCGTGGGCTGTTCAAAATGGAGACCTGGCCAATGCCAATTCAAAGTCTGGAACCCCCTTCGTAACCCAAGGTAACAGGGCTGTCCTCAGATCCTCTGCTAAAAGTTTGGCTTGTAGTGTAGTGGGTTAAATACGGAAACCCCCACCAAAACCCAATAAAAAGGCAAAAAAGAGTAAGGAACCGGGTGGCTGGGAACCACCAAGGGTAAGGATTAAGCATCTGACTCGCCGTAAGTCCGACACCGCCCTGCTGGGACCCCCCCCCCCGGCCGCCTCGACTGCTCCGTGGTTCCCAGAGGCACAGGCCAGGTGCAAGGGTGTGCGCCGGTCGTAGTCCCCTGTGGCGATGGCTCGTTTGTTTTTTAGAAAAACGGGGATGCGGTTGCCACAGACACAACAATTCACACAAATTCACACGGATGAAATGCGTGACAATTGCAGCCAAATGTTTTTTTTTGAGCTTCCTTTTGGCTCTTCTTCAAGATCCAAACCTTTTAGAGCAACCGAATTTCGGGATGTGTGAGACACCTGACACCTTCTTTGCGCCCTGCCCATCCACGAGCAACACCCCGGCGGTCGGCCCGAAAGCCTGCGTTGGCGTTCGCTCCTGAGGTATCTGGGTCCAGCGGTGGTTTCCAAAGGCTTGGTCATGGTGTCGTCTTTCAGGTTGGACCCTCGAAAAAAGGATGGCGATCCTTTTCTGGGCGCGGATCCCCCGCTTAAAGGGACTAACTTTTAGTGGGTTACAATGGAAATCCCCACTAAAAAGCTAAAAAGCTAACAAGCTAAAAAGCTAAAAAGCTAAGGAACCGGATGGCTGGGAACCACCAAGGTTTGGGCTCCGTTTGAAACCCTAAGACAAGGGCATGTCCCCCTTCTGTTCTTGCTAGAGCCTCAAAAGGCGCGCTTGAAATTCCAGTTGGGCCGACCGGCACTAAGTCGTTTCCGTGAATGAGACATGGGTATGGGCCAAAGACAAACCACCAGGAATCGGACCGCGAGTTTTAGCCCATGTCTCCATTTCCCAGGGTTCCATTTTTCGGATCCCCTATCTTTGACCAACACAAAATTGAGCTTGCCGCCAGTTTGAAAAGGTGACCCACCAAACAAATAGATGGTTGATGGTTGCCCCTTGATTCTACAAACTCCTAATGCAAAGGCAGCCCCAATCGGTGGTCAGCCCCCGGATGCTGTCCACGTCTAGCGCTACAGAACCTTTGTTCAGATGGGATGCTGAACCAGCCAATTCCAGGCGGTTTGGCATAGCAATGACAAATGAAAAGGAACAAAGCCACTGGCCGATTCAGCAAATGAACGCAGGCTTCCTAAAAGAAAGCGACGGCGGGCATGCTCAAGCAAATCCTAACACAGGGGCAGGGCTCAGGTATTATTCGCCCTCAAATTCTGTGGGTACTTGTGGACTCATGTCTTGGGCTCTTGTGACTCCACGTGACTCGGCACGACAACTTAAAGTGAGCACCCCTCAAGCACTCAAACAAAAGCAAACGGGAAGCCAGAAAACACCGCATCATCTGGTGTTTGGAATCTGGCGCTTGCAAAGCAATCTTTTTCTGGGCTACGGCAAAAGCAAAGTCCCGCAACGGGGCGCGTCCCCGGTAAGCGAAAAAAATCACCAAGCCAAATTCTGCGCCGAGAGTCTGAACTTGAGGAGGCTCGTTAGGAACCTGGGCACGTACAACTGAGATGCCCTATTCGGGCCTCTGTAAAACTACACTTGGATGTGTTTTTTTAGTTGGTACCCACCCATGTTTGTGGTTTTTAAGTAAGGGGAATCCAAAAGGACACTCACCATTTTGGAGTACACACACGCAAATACACACACACACACACACACACACACACACACACACACACACACACACACACAACGCACTTGGGTATAAGTAGATTGCACAATTCCCCCACTTTGGTTGGGTCAACCCCCTTCACAACAGAATCGGAATGAGGCCATCTACTTTCACCCCTGTTGGCGATTCCAAATCCCGGACGAAACACGAGGTTTCCCGGTTTGCTGTTGGGTTCTTGGGATCCTGCCACAGAGGGCCCAAACACAAACTTTTGCGTACCTGGAAACGGCCTCGTTGAATTCCTTTGCACAGCTCAAAAGTGCAGGTGACTGATTGAAACCCAGAAGGAAGGCGCCAAAGTGGGACGCGCGAAACACCGTCAGAATGGGGCAACAAAAACTGGGGAAGCAAATGCCAACAACCCTGTACAAACTCAATAACTCGGAATTCTGCTTCTAAACTACAAGAACTGCTGTTTGAGGTGCGCTTCTTTTCCCCTTCTCTCTCTATCTCTTTCGCTCTTTCGCTCTCTTGCTCTCTCTCTCTCTCTCTCTCTCTCTCCCTGGCTCTTTTTATCTTCTTCTCAGCATCCCTCTTCTGTTTCTGCTTCTCTTCCTGATGGAGTTCCTCTTCCTTCTCTCCTCCTGGTTCTTTCTGAAAGATTCTCCATGGGGCCCCCGGCCACAGCTGCTGCGGGTCCGAAGCGGCGGCGCAGAGCTCCGCAGCTTCCGCGTAAGGGTCGTGGACCTCCTGCGAATGGTTGGTGGAGAGGGGTGGGCGGATGAGGGGTGGTGGGGGGCTGGGTGGGGGTGGTGGGGTGGGGAGGGTGGGGGGTGGGTGGGCGGAGGGGTGGGGTGGGGTGGGGTGGGGTGAGGTGAGGGGTGGGGGGTGGGGAGGGGTGGGGGGGGTGGGGTGGGGTGGGTGAGGGGAGAGGGGCACCCAGCTGTCCAAATTATGGACACCCTGTTTCGTAAATGGGAAATCGGTTGGAGAAACACCAGGAGGGTGGAAGAGGGTGGAAGATTGGGGGAGGAAGGTAACCCAGAAACAAGCTGATTGATTGCTGGGTGTCGCTTTCAGGAAAAAACAAGTCCCTCGCTCTTTTCTTCCCCCAGGTTCAATAATCCGGGCTCGACATTGGGGGTCAGAACGACCTTCTTTTGAAAATACTCTGAACAATGTTCTTTGCACATATGTGGCTTATTCTCTTGACCGGCTTATTTTCTTGACCCGTTCTTTTCGCAGTGTGCCCTGTTAGAACGCCTCTGTCGCCACAGAAGCGACTGCCGCGCATCGAGTGCTTTGAACGGCCCTCTTTGAAGCTGTGCTCGATGCACTGCGCGCCAAACGGCTGTATGTAAGCCACAATCAAAACCCGGGAGATGAAGGTCAGCAAGGGATAATCCCAGCCATGGGTATGGGTCAAAAATAAGCCACCAGGGGCCCGCAGGAATCGGCCCATGTTTCCACTTGCCAGGGCAAGCCATTGCGGGTACCTATTTTTGACCCACACCCAAATGTGAATTCCTTGCCTGGTTCTGGGTAGACCATGTTAATAACAGGCTTTGATTGTGACTCATGTGACATCCCTCCCTTTCAAAACTCCAGCATCCATTCTGCAGCTTGCTCTCGCACAGAGCAAGAAACAAGCGGTTGACTGCGCAATCTGCTTAGTCACCCGACTCTGCTCCAGCTGGGTCACTCTGAATGAGGTTGTTGAAAACCCTCTTACCACCACGGAACCAAAACGCCTAAGGGTTGATACCATCCCCGGCAGGAGGTGCTCTGGAGTTCGAGCGTGCGCGCCCGCAGGTTGCGGACTCTCTCTCTCTCTCTCTCTCGTGTGCGGCCATGTGTCAAGCTTTTGCAGCGCCACAAGGAATTGCACACCAACTTGCTAGAGGTACCTTCCAACCATTATTTCCTGGCATCCTTCTCTCTAAGAAACCACCCAAAACCCTAGAGAAACAGCGATCGGTTTTTGAAAAGAATGGGGAATCAACCCCTAGAAACTCGGCAACTTGCTTGTCATCTGGACGAAGGCACCCCCCTGACACCACTTGTGGGATGGTTCTTGTTCCTGAAATCGAGCGCAACCCAAAGGACACCAACCCTTTGCGGAGATGTTAAGACACAGCTGTATGCAATGAATCACTCGCACACAACTCCCATGGGTATGCCGTGGCATATCTCGGTCCCATGTCTTGGCACCGCTGTTGTCAAATACAATATACCATTTGGACACATTGCGCATGGTACATCCCAACGCTTGAGACACAATGTCATTGGTGGTGCTAAGCACTTGCCCATAGGGTTGGGGCACCAGGTTGAACCTTTCACTGCTGTGCCGGGTGCTTTCATAAGGAGATTCGGTGTATGCGGGGCTGCTGTCACTGCCAGCCTGATTCCCTCCCCACCTGCCTGATTCTCCCATATCTCGCACCAAAAGCATGTGAATAACCCTGTAGCCACGACGAACAAAGTGCCCAGGTGATATCCCCAAGCCCCAGAACCCCGGAACTCTCCATTTGTCCTTGTCCTCTATCATTTGCAACCTTTATCATTGCAACCTTGTCCTCCAAACCTTGTCATTCGCAACCAACCCAACAGACGCGGCCAACGCCCAGTCCTTTGTCATGTCGGACACGTTCGATGCATCTTCCGCGATGAAATGATCCGACTCTTCGCTTCTTTGACTCCTCATCCCGCGGCGAGAAATCTGGAAAACCCCGGACAAACACGGCACTAGGGGTTGATTCCCCATTCTTTTCAGCCATCGCTCTTTTCAATAACCAGCCGTTGCCCCAGCGCTTCTGGTGGTTTTCTAGAAACAAGGAATCCCGGGAAGGAGTGGTCGGAAGCTGCTAGAATTCAACCCCCTTGGATTGATTTCCCGTGGGGCCCCTTAATTATTTCCAAAAAATCCAGCACTGGGGCACCTCACCATGCGGGAATGAGAAATGGAATGACCCTTCTAAACCGTCTCCTATGGTTTCCTTTCCTTCACGGGACCAAAGCCTGGGTTCATTCAACCACATTCCCTGAGAACCAGCAAGCATGGTCAAAATTCAGCCAGTTTATCCCGCCTTCAAAATTCACTGTTGCCCTACTGGAGACGGAAACATTTTACCAAAAACTCAGTGATTCTACTGGGCTGACCGAGAGCCCCTGCTGCAAGTCAGCTGTTGCTGCTTAGGTTGGGCAAAAAGTTGAGGCAAGCTGAGTCTAATGCCAAGAACGACATCGTATGGTGTCTGATAATCAAGGGCCCCCGAAAGAAAAGAACAGACATCCGTCGGTTGCTTGCACAAGCCGTTGTGAGCCACCTGCATTTGGCCCAGGCCAAATAAAGAACGACATAAAGTCATGCTGAAGCATCTGATGAGAACCCTTTGAAAGGCCTACAAATAGCGTGACTTGTGCAGGGCTTGATGGGAACCAGTTAATCAAGAAAAATGCCAATTTCGGTGGGGCAAACTCCCCACGTGGAACCCATGCCTGCGGCAACAGGCTCTTGCTCGCAGCGCAACTCACCACGGCTCGCCGTGTTGACTTCTTGGGATATCACAATGAGTGGTACAAGCGCATAAGGATTCCCAATGCACACATCACATACGTAAGATTGCTAACACGCATAATACCATAGAAACCATGTGCATGTGTACTGTATGTATGTGTGTGTTTAAGCACAAACTCAGTGTTCCAGTCCTTTCACTTGCATTGGGGGTTGGAATGTGTTGACGGCGCTGGCAAGCCAACAATACAGATTTCCTGGTCGGGATTGGGGCCCAGGTGTGGCATCTACAACCCCAAAACCTTCGAAGAGCTGCCCCAATCCATAAGTGCAAATGGGAGGGCATCTTTCATTTGCTTAAGCCCCTGGAAAAATAATGAGAAAATATGTCCAGTAGTGATAGTTTCCCTTTAAAACCAAAAAGGGAACATGAAACATACTCTTAAGCAAATGTGAGGGTATTGGTTCGGAACTTGTCCACGTTGCTGAAACACCGTTTGGTTTGCAGAAGCAAAAGCTCCAAAACACGTTCTCGTTTGAGTGAATTTCATCCGGCCTTCCAACGATCCATTGGCACGTGCCTGAAGAGAGCTTGAAAACCCAGAACATGGAATTCAGATCTTTGTCTCTTTCTTCTTCCACCGGGAAGCCTCCAATTTCCATGGTGATCTCTCCCATTCAGCGCTGTGAATCTTGAGACCCGCCTCTTTCGCACAGTAACCAGTTGACAACACTCTCTTCTATGTAGGATAGCTCCTTCCTCTCTCATCAGAAATCCCCGTGTTCGGCAACCAGAAACCTTCCCAGGACATTCCACCAAACAAAAACAGGCGAGCCAACGTGCCGTATTTTGCTAGGCTGTACAGGGAAAGCCAAACAAATGGGGATCCCCTCTCCAATATTCAACACGTGTTCTTGACCCCCGAACCATTGCCTCTCTTTGTCCCAAACAAAATTTGCCATGGCATCCACCAAACAAAATCACAGCTTCGTTGGGACTTCCACCCTTTCGTCAGATGTTTGTATGAACCCACCAAACAGAAGGGGGAAACTTTAAATTAAAACGCGGAAATCCACCCGGCCTTCCTCATGCCTTGTGCCGCCGGAGCGGCGGTCTGTAGCCCATCATATCATCATCCTTTACCACTGCTTCGCCGAAGCCCAGCAACGCCCCCGCTTCATGCAGCCTCAAAGGCGAGCAAATGTGAGCACGCGGCTCCCTAAGTTCGTCACTGGGACAACCCCCGTTTGAATCAACCAAGGAAAATTGATCCTGAGTCAAAATTGAATTCAAAGCCCCAATGGTTGCTAGTTTCCCTTCCATCAAATCGTGTGATTTGTAGGGTGATTTGACCCAACTGCCGCTTAAGGCAAATGTTCGGGACCCTGAATCACCCTTGCCCAACCCGGTTGAACAAAGGAAACCTCGCGCTGGATTGAACGCCAGGGTTGGGCCCAGCCTGTGTGAACACGTTGAGCACTATTCAAACAGGCTCCTTTGTCGGTCTCCCTTGGGGCAGGGGGTGCTTGTTTCAATTCTCTTTCTCAGCAGTCACAATCCAAGTGCAGTTTCTTAAGCCCCAAAATGATGCGACTCAAAAGGGCGGCAATTGTTGCTTGGGACCGCCTCGAACCGAATTACGTCGGGGTGTATCAGTTTTTGAGGCTTTACGGTGGTTGTTTCAAGGGATTCCAACAGGAAACACATATTACTTGGCTGCTGTTGACCCCCCTAGGCAAAAAGTTCTCAACTTGTGGGTTCAATTTGGACAAGCCGAACCCTTTCAACAAAGTTAAAGTCTAAGGATCCAACCCCATAGCAATCAACATTTTTGTTTGGCGTCCATTTGGTGAAAAACGTGGCTCTCTGGTCGTGGGCGTGTTTTCTGCTAGCCCAGCCACGCCCTCGCGGCGGACATCTGACGCTGCCGGCCTCACAGCAAAAACGAGCGAGCGGGCAGCTTTGGAGCACCGGGGGGGGGGGGAGTGGGGCCTGGAAGGTAATGGCATCAAGGTCTCAGGCGCAGCGCGAGCTGTTGTGTGTTTTTGTATTTTCCTCTTTAGAGACCTGAGACCAAAAGTGTCCGAACAAATCTGTTGGGAGACCAAGAATTGCTTCAGGCTGCTTGGTGCGTGAACCCGCACTGGAATCGCCATGGATTGGGGGACCCTGCGGTTTGCTGAAGGGACAGTGAGCATGGCAAAGCCACGAGAGCCAAAAGCCAGAAACCCGGGCTGTGGCTGAAATTTTGCAACCTCAGTCCGACTCCAATTGATCCCTGGAGTGGGATCAGGAGCCCAGAAGGTTATGGAACCCTCCCTGCTCGTGTCGATGGATTGCTTCGGCTTGGCATGAGCCATGTGAGGTTGCCGAATTTGTGCCTGGCCATATGGCTGTGGGTCAAAAATAGGTGCCCAGTATGGAACCTTGGTAAACAGAAACATGGACTAACACCTGCGGTCCCCTAGTGGTTTATTTTGGACCCTCACCCATGTAAGGCCGCCTGAAAAATGCCGTCCGCACACAAGTTCGTTCTCGAAAGCCGGGCTGTGCGACCAGCCAACAAGCGTCGCCAAAAAGATCCCTGGGCGACACCCATACTAAAGCAGATTGCTAGTTATGACACCACCCTCATGCGCGTACACAAGGATTTCCTTTACCCCTGGCTACACAAGGCTAGGTGAAACCTGTGATACCCATGCCTCGGATGTGCATTGGGGGTCCTCTTTTTGCAGGGGGATCGGGGATCCCATAAAGAATTTCTCCCAAACGAATCGAGGGCAGCCCCTCTAGCATTGGAAGACACCTCATTCATCGAGGGGTTGATTGTGAATGGGCTTCCAAAACTCCTTCTGGCGCTTGGAAAATGAAAGGGGCCCCTTACAGCCTCACCCAAAAGTGCAAGCGCTTCCTTCCCATGGCAATGCACAAATGGGCAAATGATGCCCATAGATTGCGGTAACTCTGTGAGAGGCTGGCTAGAGCCCCAATTGAAGGGACCAGTCGCAAGGATGAGCAACTATCCAACGGTACATTTTTCGAGCGTCCGGTATCGCTCAGAGACTGTCCCCCTTCCAGTTTTGCGAGAGGCGGCACGGTGAGATGAAGCTGCCATCCGAGTCGACGTTCAAAATCAGACACTACCGCTTTTGCCGATCGGTTTCGGGTCGCTCGAAATCAATCCCAGGCGCATGCTTCCATCAGCGGAGTCCGGCCAAAATGGTCCATGGCGTTGATCCTTGGCACGGAGGCGCGAGGGGCGATGCAAGGCTTGGCCTTGAAGGACCATGTCCCAAACGTGTTTTTGGGTGTGACTCTCTTGGAGAGTATCCTTTTGTGTGGTTTTAAAGGGAAGCCAAAAGGAAAACCGATGCCATTTTGGAGGGTCCAACCAGGCCCCTTTTTACATGGACCCACACATACAGGGTGTAGAAGCAACAACAATGGCCCATATAGCACTTAGTTTTCTAGGAGCCAAGAAGTTGACTGGCGGGAACTGCCCATCACAACACTATGGTGGGAAAGGCTCGCAAGGGCCTGCAAGCTGAGGCAGCAAAGTAAGCCAAGAAAGAAATCTCGCATGAGGTGAAGAAGCCCCTCTGAGTTCATACAAACGTAACTGGAAAGGCAACACCCTCTCAATTGCTGGGGAAACCGCACCTGCCCTTGTCGGAACCGTCCCTATTCTAAAGTCGGCGTCCAATATCCGCAAAGCAAATCAATGCGTCGGAAAGCAAATGGACCCGAGCCGACGAGACCGACGAGATGGACGACGAATCGCAGCCAAGTGGCTGGGCCTTGCTGTCCTAGTGGCTGAGGGGCTCCCGAGGCTTTGAGTACCCCCAGATCCGAAGCCCACCCCCAGTGCATAAGCTTGACGAGAACCCACTAGCTTGGGCACGGGTCAAGACCCCAAGGCGGATAGTGATTTGTCGAAAAATCCAAAGGTCATTTCGGCCAAACCAAAGAGCAACTGAGTGAAAGAGGAGTGTTTCTATAGCAAAGAAAGGGTCACTGGAGTCCTTGCCCGAAAGAAAGAAAGCAAGAAAAAAGAAAGAAAGGAAGAAAGGAAAGAAACAAAGAAAGAAAGAAAGAAAGAAAGAAAGAAAGAGGGAAAGAAAGAAAGAAGCCCGGTCTTGGTGGTGTCAAACGCGGGGGGTGAACTCAATCCGGGTTAAATCAACGCTCTAGCAATGGCAGAAATGTCAGGGCGATGTTTCAGATGTTCATGTGTCGATCCTGCCCGAAGCTCTGGGCCCTTCGAACTTCCTTGGCGAGCATGAAACCCACCTACCGTGAGCTTCAAGCTCGCTCCCAACTGAAACCAAGCAGTGCATTCCCCTTGGACCACAGCCCCAAGCAAAAGCTTGGCAACCCAGAGGTAGTTTTCTTATCGGCCGACCACTTTGGAACCTCATGACAGTCAGAGCTCGAACCTAGGCCTTCCGAACTAACGCGGCGGCTTTCCGCCATGGGAACAGGTTGGGTTTTGCGCTGAAAACAAAAGACAAAATGGTTCATCCCCAGCAGAGTGAGCTCACGTTCAGTCCCAGGGCCATTGGAACAGATCAAGACCATCCAAGCCAACATGGCAATCTTGCACAGGTACCCTCCTGTCCACTAACATAACCCCACCAGATCCCTCTGAAAGGAAAATCGTCTTCCAGCACCCCTCAGTCAGTCCGGTTCCATGGTAGTGGACGGGAGAGTAGAACAGCGTGAGATTCAAGAAACATGCGAAACTGGCGCCACAGTTTCAATGTCCCTTTGGGATCCATGCCTGGAATGGGCTCAAATTCGTGTCACAAGAGGAGAAAACACAAACATGGGGGACCCGGAAACACCCAGATGGGTCTGTCTTGGTTGAAGTTCTTGGTTGTGGTTTTAAAGGCAAACCAAAAGGAAAGCCGAAGCCATTTTTGGGGGGTTCTCGAAAACAAGACACCACCATACGGCTCATGAAAGTACTTGTCGGGCATCTGCAAGGATTCAACTCCGAAATGCGCCAAGCTGGTGGGAATTGCCTTTCGACTTGGGCATGGAGTTCAGTTTGGGACCACTTGCTGATGTGAATGAACCCGGGTGTGCTGCCCAACAGCAACACTGGAGATAGAAACCCAAGAGCTGATGGCTCTTGGGAAGTATCTTCTATTAAAATTCCTGGGGGGGGCATGCGAATGGTTCGATTGGCCCCAAGGAAAGCAGCCATTGGCCGGTGCCTGAACAAGAAGCGCCCCAGAAGGAAGTCCTTCCTAACTTTTCTTCCCAGAACTTCATGGCTCAGTTCTCCTGCGCCGGGGAAACCGGCTTTTGTTCCTGACCCAATGCAGCGGAGGTGCCACAAGCACCGAGATCACCCCCGTCTGGCCTGCGGGGCCAGAAGAAGAGTTCCACCATCTCCGTTTTCACGGAACACGTGTCAAGCCGGTTCTCAACACATCGGGAATGGAACCCAAGCGAAGACATGAATGGAACCCAAGTCTGGGTGCGCTTCCGGCCGGACACATGAGAGGCAAAAGCGAAAATCGAGGTCTAGGTCGCACCGAATCCCAACATCCCGCGAATCCCGAGACCTCCCAGTCAATGCCGCAGCCTTTGGAGGCGGCCACGTGCAGAGGCGTGCGGTGGTCGTAGTCGCAGCAGTTGGGGCTCTGCCCCGTCACCAGCTTCTTCACCTCCGCAAGGAATCAAAAACCCCAGATCTCGGTTGCTTTCGGCTCCCCTGCAAAAAGTGACTAACTCTTAGTGGTTGAATGGATAACCCATTAGTTGGCAAAAAGCTAAAGTCCTAACATCCAAGCAAAATGCACCAAAGATTTCGGGGTGGTGTTGCTGCGGCAGGCAAAAACGGCCATCCTCCTTGTTATTTGCTAAAGGGAAACGTTGAAAGGTTCCTGTGGCAACATAGGACTGAGCATATGCTCCCATGCTCATCCTCCACCCCCCCTTTGAGCAGCTCCCCAATTACCAACAGGGCCTCAACACGGGCTCGGCCCTTTCCCAGAGTTCCACCATTGGTCAATTCGCTGGCCTTTCACTCACAGCGGCCACTCCCTTGGTTCATCGAAGGAGTCCGACTCGGGTTGGCCAAAACCTCGCCTCGGCTTCCCAGCCCCGCCTTTCGCCCCTTGTGCCCGCCCGGTGCTTTTCCCTGGGCTCCCAAAGCAGATCCACGGCTCAAAAAGAAAAAGGGCCACACCGAGGCCATGCTGCAAGCTACAAAGCTGGAACCGGACTCTTGTAGGAGGCACACAATAGGTGTCAAGGACCCGCATCGTTTAACCGCAAAAGCCGCACCGGCCTCTGCCACGTCGCCACTGGCTGCTGCAAAGCACAGGGCCGCAGTGGTCATATCCCTGCGCACCAAATCGTGACTTCCTTTGGCCTTTTTAGTACCCCCACAAGCCCATTCTCTTCCGAGCAACATTGATCCCCAGAGTTGGTGGTTCAAACCGCGACCAGCACATATACACATCATCTACTCGGCCTATAAAAGCAAACAACTTGTGCGCCTAAGTTGTGGAAGGCTTGATCCTCTGTTCAATCGCTCTCGGCCTGATTCGCTTGATGTAAGCCGAGCATTCCTTTTGACCCCTTGCATGGAAAGAACGGGACTTTCCTCGCGTGGACAGATCCGCAACACACGCCAGGTGCAGAACGCGGGGGATGGGAGTCGAAATTTCACGGTGCTCCATGGAAACATTTGGGCCCCACCCTATACCTGCGAATTTGAGTGGCTCAGGCCTCCCAAACTGCCCTGCAATCCACATGGAATCATTTTGCTGGAGTCCTCGGAAACTTGGAAAGGGTAATAGATCCACAATACTAGGTCCTCCAGTAGAGAGGTTAGAATAAGGGTACCAACTTTTTTCTGTAGTCTATTTTAGTAGGGGAACCCTCTCCCAGAAAAGAAACGGCAAAACGGCACTACTGGGAAACCTAGAATATTTCATCTTCCCCTTACGTGCTGGTAAGGATTGGTGGTTTGGATTTGGATTTGAACCCCGGGTAGAGGGCAATGCGGCACTAGCGTCTCGAATCCAGTTGGACCTTTTGGCGATGGCTTCATGAATCTTCCGGGAGCAAACCCCCCAAAGGAGCCACGTAGAAAGCGGTGTTTCCTTCCCGGAGAAAGCATTCCTTGCGAGTGGGAAGCAGAATATCAACAACTCAGATGCAACAGCAAACCGGCAAAAACAAATCCCTGAGCGGAATTTGGTCGAAAAAACATGCGCTATGTTTCATTTGCCACGAAAGTGGTCGCCCCTTCAAGTCACCCCTTCAAGCCAACCACCTGGGGTAGAAGCAACGCGTCGGCGCGGGGAGGCCTTCTATGCACGATGTGCGTCTGCGCATCCCGGATGATCGACTTGTAGATCCTTGCGCCCAAGAACTAGGGCTGGGCAGGGGAAGTTTGGGGGGCATCCTCAAAAAGGACACCCCACCACATCACACACACACACACACCCAAAAGAATCAGCAAAAACAAAAAACGAACAAGGTCACACACACCCAAAAGAAAGAGCAAAAAAACAAAAACAAGATCGGCCGAACTGTCACAAGAACGCTGCACTTGGAACAACAATCAGGATCAACGCTCCCCCCCAAGGCCAATGAAGAGGCTCACGAGTTGTGAGTCGACAAGGAAGGATGCTCCATGAAAAGAAGCCCTCTAAAAAAAAATTAAAAAAATTGGTAACATATATATGTATGTTTGTTTTTTGCTTTTTCCGAAATTGCAGTCGCCATATTTACCTGGGAAGCGTCGCAGAAAGGTTTGCGAACATGATGCCGATGAGGCGGCCCCTTTCAACGTGTCTATGTGACAACGCCATGGAATGCCCATGCTAGTGGCTTGTCCTTGGAATTCATTTGGTTTTCGTCAAAACGACCTGAAAAGAGTACCCTTCAAAAAAAGAGAGAAGAGCCTTGGCGCGGTTTCACTTATGGATTCGCAAGGAGGGTCGACAAGTTTTGGATGCCCTCAAAACAGTACCTTAGAGCTTGGATTTTGTGAGAAAAAAGCCATGTGCCATGGCCGAAACAACAAGTTGCTCCCCCAAGAGGACATGGGAGAATTGGTAAGTCCCCTGGCGTTTGTGGGAAATGGGGTGAGGCCCCCATGTGTGTGGGAAACTCGGAGAGTCCCCCGCCTCCCAAATG